CTATCTTTTCAGGTAACCTATTATTTGAGAAACAGATACAATTTTTGAAAAGCATAGTAAGGGTTTGTACATCATAGTAATTGTTACGCGTTTTCTGTATTTTTGAAGTTTATTAAGATGTACTTAACAGTATACAATTGATCACAAGAGATGCATCGAGGTACAGTTTTTGGTTTGAGTAAGTATTTATGTATATGTATATCCAATTCAGTCGCTGCTTAGTACTACGTCCTCTCTTCGATCGGGTAATGGCTCTCTACCTTCCAGTTTGACTATCGACTGATGTTCGTACAGTTTGTTGTTTATCAATCTAAAGAAACATAAACACTGTACAGGTTACGTATCACTTAACATCAGAAATTTACATCCGGCAGCAAGGTCTCTGAATGCTCAGTGGAAAATATCAAGATGTCATGTCTGAACATAGGTCTCTGGTTGGGACTCGGAAAGAAATGAATATATACCAGAAATCAAAGGAAATAAAATAATATTAACCTTCTGTTCTGCCTGTCCTTATCCACCCTTTTTCATGAAAAAACAGTTATAACTATGGATACAAAGTAAAAAAGAATAGTTTTTAATCACCTATTCCATATGGATAATATGAAAAGCTTTGCTAAAGGCAAAAATGAGTTGAAGGGAATCCTCAATACTGTAAAATATTTCAATGCATGGATTTCGGATTAAATAAATGTGCAAAACTAACATTCAATAAAGGAAGAATTACAGAAACACACTCAATAGAACTAAATTTTGCCACAAAGATTAGGAAACTGGAATAAGAAGTCTAGAAATACATAGGAGTCAAGGAAAGAGATTGAATACTTTATACCCAAATAAAGTAGAAAATAAGAAACAATACTACAGGCATGTTAAATACCGAGCTGAATTCACAAAACATAATATCAGCCATAAACACTTTGGTTGCCCCTGTAGTGCCATACAGTTTCAAGAATCCTTAATTGGACCGTAGCTGGCATTACGTGAATGCATGTCAAAACGAGAAAGTTATTCACTTGCCACCGCATGCATCATCCCCAGGCTGATGTTGATCGTCTCTATGTGCTCAGATCCGAAGGAGGCAGAGGATTAGTTCAACTAGAACAGTCTAGCAAAACCAGAATAATCGTTCTTCAAAAATAGCTGGAAACTAGTGAAAACTGGATGATGATCTGTGTCAAAGAACATAAAAGAAATTTGAAACTTTATTTAATCATAAAAGACAACAAATTTAAAAGGGAATTTCAAGCAGGCAAAGAAGTGCAAGTAAACCATAACACATCTACTGCAGCGCCAAAGAACCTAAAAAAGACAGCAAATGCAATATACCAAATGCAAAAACTATGGCAAGATAAGCCTCTTCATGGTCCATACTCTGGTTACGCAGTGCAGGAGTAAAAGTTGAAACCGAAGGTTTTATTCTTGCTGCACAGGACCAATACTTGCTAACTAGGAATTACCAAACACACACTGAAAAATTATGTTATACAGAAATGCAGATTCTGTGATAAATATCCAGAAACAATTAACCATTTTGTATAAGGCTTCACAGTATTAGCACCCACTGAATATAAAACTCGGCATGGTAGAGTGGGTCAGTATCTGCACTGGAAAACATGCACCATTTACGGGAAGGAAGTGCCAAGAAACTGGTATGAACATCACCAAGACGCGATTACAGAGATAAGGTCAGTAACATTTTTATAGGTCTTTACAATACACATAGGCAAAAAAATCAAAGCTAAATATCGTGATCAATGGCGACAAAAAACAGAATGTATTTTCTTATTGTTATATAGAAATAAAGTGTCGCTGCCGACACTTGAGTTTGAACATACATCGCCAGTGGACAAACACAGGCGATCCCATTATTGAATTAAGTAGACCAGGTGACCATAGAGGAAACGCATATATGAAAGATAGCGTGTGTTTAATTAATCGCTATTTCTTGTCTATCCTATTTACTATGAGAATCGTTATTTCTAGTCTATCCTCTATACTACACGGATATGCATTTCTTCTTTATCCTTTATTATTATACGGACTACTAGTCTCTATTCTCTTCTCTATTCACTATACTATTTCTCTATTCGGATCACTATACGGATTACTGTTTGAGCGAGTATTATCGAGCAATTAATATTAGTGCGAGATTATTGGAAGGCGTCTGACACTAGCATTGTTCAACGGCGTTACTATAGTTGTATCTACAATTATAAAGTCTCTATCTACTACAACAAGCATTACGCAAGTGACAACGAGTGTTTGTTGACATCACAAAATTCATTGACATGGCATTCCTGTAGATTGTAATGTATCATTGAAGATCTTCAAAAATCTATCAAAATACAAGGATATTGAAGTGGAAATCTCATAAATGTAGACATCAATATCCCAGTTCTAGTTAGAATCCTCGGATTGATTGGAAAAGGTTCCTATAGACTCAATGAATGGATTCTGGTAGCCTCGGCCATAAAGGTGTACAAAACATTTTCTTCACAAGTACAGCCCACACATTACGAAGAACTTTAACCTGACCGTGTCTCGCATTCAGTCGCGTCGTGGGTGCACTAAAAAAATACACTTTTAGTTTAAAATGAATAAATATGGGAACACATTTCAGAAAGAAAAGAATTCGATGTTTGTTTAATTTATGCTTGATTTGAAGAGTTCAAAATATTTAGAAAAAAGTGTTTGAGAATTTAATAATCTATGAATCGGAAATAATTCTTAGACAATTAGAATAGATTTCTTAATCGACGTTTATTCTAATACTTATTTTATATTGTTGTTAGTATATTTTTGTGTCTGTTTCTGTGTTGTGTTGTATAGAAGCGGTACTGATTTGTTGTTAGGGGATTTTCAAAACACGCAATAATTCTCGGGTGTTTTCAAAATTTTCCTTGTCATTCGCATTTAATGAAACATGTATATGTTATACTGGAACATACCTATTCTATTGTAAATAGACTCTCCTACATATAAGTAGTAGTGGTAGCAGTCGCTAGTGAGCTGTGTGAGTTGGTGAGTCAGTCGATGTCGGACATTAAAGTTTCAGCCACCACAACTAGATTGCTGCGTCATTAACTATTATTTCAAGTTCCTAACGTTTTGTACGTCGAACCTTTTTAGGACCGACTTAGTGAAATACAAGCCTCCACTATGAAACTACTCTACAACAGCATAAAAGAAGGATTGTTGCTCAAATATACAATATATATATATATATTAATACACTTTTATGTTTATACATTCTTTTTATAGATACAAATATTTAAGTAAATGCTCTGCTTATAATAAACAGTATTAACAACATTTACCGGCCTGAATGTCCGAGAAATTTTCATAGAAAATATTCGTCCTCCGACAGGATTCGAACCTGTATCCTATACGGAATCCGTTATTTAGCCTGACGTGCCTTAACCGATTTGGCCACAGAGGAGCATTCGGTTAGAAAGGACGAATTTACTGTATTTAAACTTCAATCTTCCATGAATCTCTCACGTACATTCATATCTGCTCATGGCGTATCAAATGTAAACAAATGACGTCACACATTTTGAAATGGACAAAGTCCGACAATTATTTTAAGACATTTTTATGTTTATACATTCTTTTTATAGATACACATATTTAAGTAAATGCTGTGTTTATAATAAACAGTATTAAACAATATTTACCGGCCTGAATGTCCGAGAAATTTTCACAGAACGTCATTTGTCGGAGGACGAATATTTTCTGTGAAAATTTCTCGGACATTCTCGGACA